CGCCCAGCCTCCGATCCACCCCCGCAGCTTCCTGTCCCCCATCCCCCCCAGCTCCCATCCCCCCCACTCCACCCCAGCCTCCCATCCACCCCCCACGCTTCCTCGTCCCCCATCCCCCACAGCCCCCATCCCATCACCCCCCAGCTCCCATCCCCTGACCCTCCCCACAGCCTCCCATCCCCCCAATTTCTCCCACCAACAGTTCTGAGATCTCAGGAGTCCTGACTCCCACTCACTCCCCTCTGCTCTCTCAGGATCCCGGCCAGCCCCCCGCCCCACTCACCTTCCGCCTCTTTTCAAAGTTGATGAGCCCACCCTGGGGGGAATCAGAGAGAGAACATGAGAGGGGTTGGGGGCCCTCAGGGTTTACATTAGGTGGTTACCCCAGGAAGGGGCTGGCACTGGGGGAGCTGTGAGAGGAGATGTCCCGGCTCCTGGGGGCAGGATGTGCACAAGAGCCTCTGGGAGTCTCGGGGGAAGAGGCAGCTCGGCCCTAGGGGGCCCCTGAGGTGGGCGCGGGGGGGGCACAGTGATGACGTGAGCCTGGGGACCTCCAGACCCCCCGACTCACCTCCAGGAAATCCGGCAACGCCGTGTCCAGCATCACCAGATCCGTCAAGAAGGTGCCAAGGTACGGTACAGTGCCCGGGGGCGGCGCCTGGAGGGGGGAGGGTCCAGGTCACCCACATGGCTCTGCCAGTGCCCCTCACTCCCGACTCGCGGCCCCCGTTATTCCTCCCCACCCCGAGCTCTGCCAGTGCTCCCCAGTCCCCACCCACAGCCTGTTAGCCCTGCCCTGAGCTCCCCACACAGCTCTGCCAGTGCCCCTCACTCCCAACCCACAGCCCCGTTATCCCTCCCCACCCCCCACCCCGAGCTCTGCCAGTGGCCCCCAGTCCCCACCCACAGCCCAGCAGGTGCCCCAGCACTGAGCACCCCTCCCCCACCTCTGCCGGTGCCCCTCACTCCCGACTCGCAGCCCCTGTTATCCCTCCCTGCCCCCCAAGCTCTGCCGGTGCCCCTCAGTCCCAATCCACAGCCCCTGCGAGCCCAGCCCTGCCCCCCACAGCCCGGCAGGTGCCCCTCACTCCCAACTCGCAGCAACTCAAGGCCCTAGACCCTGGCCGTGGTCCCATCACTCACCACTGGCTTCTCCGGGGGATTCAGTTTCGGAGTCGCTTTGCGGGCGACACGGGGGCTGGGGGCTCCCTCGGGGACGCTCTGGGCAGCGTCGCCCTGTGCAGAGGGACAGGACCAGCAGGGCCCAGCGGAAAGAAATCATTGACGGGAGCCTCCGGTATACGGAGCAAAATCCCACTGCCGGGGGCACAGTGCCCCCGGCGCCCCCCCATCCTGCCCCTGCAGCATGACATTCCCCAGTGACCCTCCTGCCCCCTGCAGCATAGCACCCCCAGCAAGCCCCCCACCTTTCACCGAGCCCCTCCAGCACAGCACCCCCTGCTGAGCCCCCCCCGCCCCGCTCCCTGGGGCACAGCGCCCCATAGCATGGCCCCAGCGCCAGGTACCTGCAGCAGGATTTCCCGGCAGCTCAGATGGTTCTTGTCGTCGGAGAAGATCTGCGAGAGCTTCCAGAAGACGCCCATGGTGTCCCTGGGGGGGGACCAAGACAGAGCTCTGTCCATGCATGCACCCCCAATCTCCATCCTGGCACCCCTGAACCCTGTCCCCATTGGCCCCCACACCCCCAATCCTCAGCCCCCGATCCCCATCCCCATCGGCCCCGCACCCTCAATCCTCAGCCCCGGCACTCCCGATCCCCGTCCCCATCAGCCCTCCTACCCCCAAACCTCAATCCCCAATCCCCACCCCCGGCATCTCCAATCCTCAGCCCCTGATCTCCGTCCCCCGCCCCGGAACCCCCAATATTCAGCTCCAGTCATAAATATAAAGGGAAGGGTAACAACCTTCCTGTATACAGTCCTATAAAATCCCTCCTGGCCAGAGGCACAAAATCCTTTTACCTGTATAAGGGGACAAGAAACTTTCAAATGGGGGGGGGGGGCGGTAATCCCTGGTTTTTCTTTTTGTAACTAAAGTTTTGCCCAGAGGGAAACCCTCTGTGTTTTGAATCTGACTGCCTGTGAGATTATCTTCCATTCTCATTTTACAGAGGTGCGTCTTTCACCTTTTTTCTTTCTAATAAAGTTCTGGGATTTTTTTAAGAATCTGATTGGGGTTTTTAGTGTCCTAAAAAGCCAGAGCTGGTCTGTGCTCATCTTGTTTATTCTCAAGCCTCCCAGGAAAGGGGGTGAAGGGGCTGGGGGGATATTTTGGGGAAATAGGACTCCAAGTGACCCTTGATTCTTTGTTTGAATCACTTGGTGGTGGCAGCGTTTACCTAATCCAAGGTTCAAGGTGGAATTTGTGCCTTGGGGAGTTTTTAACCTAAGCTGGTAGAAATAAGCGTAGGGGGTCTTTCATGCGGGTCCCCACATCTGTACCCCAGAGTTCAGAGTGGGGAGGGAACCCTGACAACCCCCTATCCCCACCCCCAGCTCCCCCAAACCTCAACCCCCAATCCCCACCCCCAGCTCCCCCAAACCTCAACCCCCAATCCCTGCACCCACCTATTCCTGGTTCCTGCACCCTCCTGACACTATCCCCACCCCGGCACCCCGATCCTCTCACCCCCCCCCATTCCTGTTCCACCCCCCACCCACTGAACCCCATCCTGGCAGCTTCCCCAGCATGCCCTGACCCCGCCCATAGAACCCCCTCCAGGGTCACCGGGACCCTCTGGACCCCACTCCCCACCGTGAGCCCCAACCCAAGAGCATTGGCTCTTGGGGGCAAGTCCCACCCTCTAGAAGGCGGGACTTCCTGGATTAGCTCTGGCCATCCCAGCCATGCCTTTGGGGGGCACTGGTCAGATTGCATGAAGCCAAACTCACCCCGCCAAGCCAAAGGGGGGCAGGGCATGAGAGCTGCTGCTCTCCACCGCCAGACAGCCCCCGCCCCCTGCGCTTCTCCCCCCGCCCCCTCCATTCAGCCCCCCAGCTCTCACCGGCTCACGGCAGCCCAGGTCCTCTTGAGCCGGTGCACAGGGCTGGACTGCAGGGCGGAGATCACAGCTCGCAGGGAGGAGAAGTTACGCAGAACGTAGCAGTGCTGGGGGGGAGGGGAGTCAGTGGGGTCCAGCTGCCCCCCCCCCCCAGATCTACCCCCTAAACCTCCACAAGTCCAGTTACTACTGGACTCTCCCGCAGCCCCTGCTGGCCTGGATCCCCCCCAACCTCCTGTAAGTGCCCCTCACCTTCCCCCACACCCCCCTGGGCCCCCTCGGCCCTACCCCCACCCTACCCCCTCGGCTGTCCCCTGCCCCCACCTGGGCAATGGCGACCCACTTCTCTAGCAGCCGGGCTCTCTGCTGCGCACGGAGCTGCACATCACCCAGCACCGAGGCGATGACGCAGCCAGTGACGGCGTTGAACTGGGCCACAGTGGCGCGGACGCTGGGCGCTGCCCCCTCGCCCACCTTGCGGTCCCTCTGCGACCACACGCAGCCCAGGCAGTGGAAGGGCCGCACCTGCGTGAACAGCTCCTGTGGGGGGGAGAGGGAGTGGGGGAGGGTCCATGCTCTGTGCCCAGGCACAGCAAAGGAACAGAACCCAGGAGTCCTGGCTCCCAACCCTCTCACTCTAGCCACTAGACCCCACTCCCCTCCCAGAGCTGGGCATAGAACCCAGGAGTCCTGGCTCCCAGCCCCCCTGGTCCAACCACTAAACCCCATTCCCCTCCCAGAGCTGGGGAGAGAACCCTGCAGTCCTACTCCCAGCCCCTCCCTGCTCTCACCACTAGACCCCACTCCCCTCCCAGAGCTGGGGAGAGAACCCAGGAGTCCTGGCGCCCAGCCCCCCCCCCCCACTCTAACCACTGGGCTATGCTTTCTTGGGTGCTCTGGCCCCACTCCCCTCAGCCCCCCACTTACTATGTCCATTAGTGTCAGCTGCTCGGCCACCTCCTCCGCACTGAACGACAGGAGATCGGGGGGCTCCCCGCAGCCCTCTGGCCCCCCCTCGCCCTCCAACGCCAGTGGACCAGCCCCAGGGGATTCACAGCCTGCAGGGGAGACAGCACAGGGCATCAGACCTGCCGGCTGCACAGGGACAGGCACTGAGGGGTCCCAGCCAAGGGGTGGGTGGAGGAGGGGATAAGATGGACAGGCACACGAAGGGCTGTAGCCAGGGGACAGGTGGTGGTGGAAGAGCCAGGAGGGGGACAGGTGCTGGGGGGTTGTAGCTGGGGGACAGTTGGAGGTGGGAGTAACAGGGGCAGGCAGAGGTGGGGGGAGTGGGAACAGGTGGAAGCAGGGGACAGGCAGAGGCAGGGGTTGTAGCCAGGGACAGGCAGAGGCGGGGGTTGTAGCCAGGGGGTGGGGGAACAGCCGCAGGTGGGGACTGTAGCCAGGGAACAGGCGGAGGCAGGCGGAGGCAGGGGTTGTAGCCAGGGGACAGGCCGAGGTGAGGCTGTAGCCTGGGAACAGGCCGAGGCGGGGGTCCTAGCCAGGGGACAGGACGAGGCGGTGGATGTAGTCAGGGGGTGGAAGGGACAGGTGCAGGCAGGGACTGTAGCAAGGGGACAGGTGGAGCAGGGACAGGTGGAGGCGGGGGCTGTAGCCAGGGGACAGGCGAATGCGGGGGTTGTAGCTGGGGACAGGCGGAGGCAGGGGACAGGCGGAGGCAGGGGACAGGCGGAGGCAGGGGACAGGCGGCAGTGGGGGTTGTAGCCAGGGGACAGGCGGAGGCAGGGGACAGGTGGCAGTGGAGGTTGTAGCCAGG